TTCCCCAAGTACCCTCATAGATGACTTTACAGACTGCAAAGAATGATGCAAGATAAGCTGACAAAAAATAAGATTAGGATATGGGTGTATAAAGAATGTTGCTCAAATTGTCTGTTTGCTTTATATACAAGATTCATAAATAATTATGATTTGAGATCTAACACATCCAGAAATCAACTTTGAATAAACTGAAAAAAATGGCTTCTTCATCTTCATATATTCTGAAGGCATCAGAAGGATTATATAAATATTACTAAATTCACATCATTAAATTAGATTTATTTAATATATACCATCTGTCATCTTAATACAATTCCTATAAACACTACATAGTTTATTTTTATTAAAAGAGATGTATATGTATGTATATATATTATATATATATACTTAAAAAATTCAGTCATGACAGATGAAGCAAGTGTACAGCTCACCCTATAATACTTTCTCAGGAATAACCATTTCCCTTTTTAATTCTCTTGATTAATATCTCTAAATAATATAGTTATATTACTGTCTCTCTAGATCAAATAAACACCTATTGACTCATTATTATTATTATGCTATTTCCACAGTAGTTTTCTTGCTCTCTAATTCTATTATTGACAATGTTTAAAAATTTAAGTAGTGTATTTCAAAATTTCCCTGTTAATTTTTAATTTTTACTTATGCATGTTAAATTTACATATGGTAAAATTCATCTTTTTGGTATACAATTCTTCTATGAGTTTTGACAAATGCATGGAGTTGTATAACTACTAAAATGAACAATTTATGGGGCAGTTCCATCATCCAGAATATTCTCCAGTGGTGCCCTTTTGTAATCAGCCTTTTCCCCATCCCTAAAACCTGGCATCTATCATCTTTTCTTATTCTCTATAGTTTTGCCTTTTCCAGGATGGCATGCAAATGGAATCATGAAGTACAAAGCCTTTGAAGACTGGCTTCTTTCCCTTACTATAATGCACTTGAAGTATGTACATACTGTTGTTTCTATCAATCTGTTCCCATTTATTGCTGAGTGATACTGCATTGTATGGCTTCACCACAGTCTTTTTATCCTTTTACTAGCTGAAGGGCATTTAGGTGGTTTTCAGTTTTTGCAGTATATGAATAAAACTACTATAAACATCCATGTACAGGATTTTTATGAACATAAGTTTTATTTCTCCTGGATGAATACCTACGTGGGGGATTATTGAGTCATATGGTACGTGTATGTTCAGTTTTATTAAAAAATGTTAAACTCTTGGCTGCACCATTTTTGCATTGCTAGCAGCAATGTATGAAATTTATGGTTGCTCTGCAAACTCTCCAGCACATGTGGCTTTATCAGGTTGCTGTTTGTCAGTCGGATAGAGGTTATTTGCCAATCTGTATCTCTTTATGGTGTTAATTTATACTGTACCTAATGACTAGTAATATGGAACAACTTTTCATGTACTTATTTGCCACTCATATATTTTCTTTGGTGAAGTGTCTTTTCAAACATTTTCTTCAGTTTTTTCATTGGGTTTTCTTAGTTTTGAGTTTCTCTATATTCTATGGATCCAGGTTCCTTGTGAGACCTCACCCATGCCAATATCTTTTCATAGTCTATAGTTTGTCTTTTAAATCTTTCAAAACGTCATTCATAGAAAAAAAAAAGTTTTTATTTTGATTAAGTCTAATCTCAGTACATTCTTTGGAGATCATGCTTTTAATGTTATAACTAAGAGCCCTTAGCCTATTCCAAGGGTCTCCAAAATGATCTATATTTTCCTTTAGAAGTTTTAGAGTTTTACATTTTGCATTTAGGTTTATGTTCTGTTTGAGTTAATTATTATATGAGATGGGAGGTTTGCTCAAAGCTTCTTTATTTTTTCTTGCATGTGGATATGCAAATGTTCCAGCAGCTTTTGTTAAAAGGTTTTTTTCTTCATTGACTTGCCTTTGCATATTTGACAAAAATCAGTTGATTATGGTTATGTGTCTCTATTTGTGGATATTTATTTTGCCCCATTTTTTTATCTGTCTGTCCTTTCACTAATGCCACACTTGATTATTATAGCTTTGTATCAAATAGAATGAGACTTCCAACTTTGCCCTTCTCTTCAAAACTGTTTTTGTTATTCCTTTTTCTTTTCATACGAAATTTAGAATCATTTTGTCAGATTACAATAATCATATTGTGGTTTTAGTTTGGATTATATTAGACCTATAGATCAATTTGGAAAAAAAATAAAGATCTTAAGAATCATCTGATAAATGAACATGGTATATGTCTCATTTAGTTCTCTTAGTTTTTTATTGATGTCTTCTAGTGGTCAGTGTACAGTGCCTGTACATATTTTGCTAAATTTATACCTATTTTGTTATTTTCCAGTGCCATTATAAATGTCACTATTATAATTTTGACTACCTGTTTATTACTAGTATGTAGAAATACAGTTGATATTTGTATATTGACTTTGTACCCAGTGATATTGCCGTATCACTTATTAGTACCAAGAACTTTCATCGTATAGTCTAAAGGATTTACAGCATAAGCAATCATGTTATCTGAGAATAGAGACACTTAAAAAAATTCCTGAGAAAAGTGTATTGACAAAGAAACTACAAGTCCACACTAAAAGCCAAGACTACAAGTGTATATTTATTTCAGGGCTGCAAAATTGCATAGGCAAAGCATACAGGAGAACAGTAGCGGGGCATGCCACCCAGTATTTACTTCAGATACTGTCATACAGGATAAGGGAAAAGCAATACTATATAGGGTAAGTTGTGGAGTATTATGGGGGAAGTTCTTAGGAAGCAAAATGAGAGTCTGATCCACATCTTCTCCACAGTCAGAATAGAGGAAAAGCAAAATGTCTACCCTAGAGGCTTTTATTGGGTTCTGGTCTGCACTTGCTGTTTTTCCCATTTATGTATTCTGTTGTGAATGATAATCTAGAGGGGAGAAACTTCTTAACATCACTTTGAATAATATGTTGGTAAACTCAGTAATTGGAAAAACTATAGCTAAGTCCCGGTTTCCTCCTCCTCATACCCATTGTTTTCCTTAAAATTTCTGTTTTTTTAAATCTTCTTTTAGAATACCACCGCCACCAAAACAGACAAAGAAAAATCCATTCACTTTTAGCCTCACCTGTCTATTGCTGTATTTTGTTTTGATCTATAAATGCCTGCTCTACTAACCCTCTGAGGAAAGGTGACTAAATTCACACACATATCAGAGGCAGTCTGGTCAGTAGTATGTAAAATGCTAATTTACATTTACAGAAAACATTCCTGATCTAGTCTTTTTCTGAACCACATTAGAATCTGTGTCACATTTACATGTTTTAGACTTTATGAATATGTTATTTGCAAATGTTTGAGCAATAAAATAATACAATTGTAAAACACCTGTCAGGATGCTCAAAGCACTATGTATATATAATAATTACAACAGCATAAAAATATAATAAGCAATCACCCACCAAGATGAATTTAGGAGGAAAAAGTTTAGAACAGTGTTACATAAATGTAAAGAGGATTAATTGTAAATTCAAAAAAGGACTGCAAACATGATTAAATGCAAAGACAAACACAAATCAAGCTGAACACATTTGTCTTTGGGAAAGGAATTATAAAAATGTTTGGCAGTAAAATGAAACTGCTTATAAGTCATTTCAAAATAATGATACACCCTGGATAATTTTATTGGTTTTATAACTTTAAAGCTGTGACCCAGTGCCTCGTATGTGCTTTCTTGTAAAGTTATAATCTAATTATGAAGTGACCAAATATTAAAGAGCTGCTGTGAATCTGCTGCCGCCTCCAAATGTTACCTCTGATGTTTAAAACTCTTCTAATGGAAATTGCATGCACTATCAATAGAAAAAGATTAAATACTGTGGTGCAGTGAAGTGAAACAGAGATTGGTTTTTCTCCCTGTTGAGGTTGTAATTGGATTATTGTGAACTCAATATTTGTTCCAAAAGAAAATTATTTCTTTCTTTATATATACATTACAATAATTGAATAGACAGGGTTATTCCTGGAAGTTAAGGGGTGTTTTGAAACCATTAGAAGTACTTGCATATTGTATCTTTCCTTCTATCCTAAATCCCCCTCTACCTCAATCCCAACTCTGTTGTTATTTTACAAAAAGATTGTGCAGGTTTCTCAACTCCAGAAACTTATTAGAATGGTTTCTTGTACCCCTGGGTCTAGGTTCTTTCATATCTGTGTGTGTGTCTGTCTGTCTCTCTGACCGTCTGTCTGTGTCGGTGTGTGTCTGTGTGGCGCTTGAGTAACTGATAAAGGAGGAGGGGAAATCCAAGATATGGTTAGCTTACCTAGTTCATTTCAATAATTCACAGCCCTTAGGAAGCTATTGATGGTTCTTTATTGTCTCTGTCCCCCTCACTTTTCTACTTTCTAACATCCCTTTCCAGAATACCACACTTTAGTAGTCCACTCAGGTGATTCTTTGGTTTTCCCCTGGGAAATACCTGTGCATGCTATAAAATGACACCATCATTCTGTATTTTCCTTTGTATCTCTACAACTCTTATTCCTTAAGCGCGTATATTAGTTTTTAAAAGTGAAAATTCTGACTAAGCTAACTCATGCTGATATACGAATGTGAAAAGTGACTATATTCTCATCTTCAGGAATAGTAATCTAATAAAAGTCTGCTTACATATTCAAATAAATATATATTAGATGATAAAATTTTAGATAAGATGGGTATGATAGGTGAATTATGCCTTCCAAGATGATTCCATATCTTGTTCCCCTGATCCCCAGACTGTGAATATGTTATTTATCATGTCAAAAGGAATTTTGTATATGTAATTAAATTAACCAATTAGGTGAATTTAAAACAGAGAGATTACCCTGGATTATCCAGCAGCAGGGGCCCAATATAATCACACGATCCCTTAAGAGCAAAAGGCAAGGTAGAAAGGGAATTCAGAAAAATTCAAAGCATAAAAAAGATGCAATTGTCCTTTGTTTGCTTGAATTTGAAGGAATTGATGTGTCAGAAAAGAAGGATCTCAGTTCCACACCCTCAAGAGACTGAAATCTGTCAACAATCAGTGACCTTGGAAGAAGGTAATAAAGGGCCCCAGATGAGAATTGTAGCCCTGGTAGATAACCTAATACCTTATAACAACTGCGTCATTCATCCATTTAAAAATAGTGCGCATCAAAAATTAACCACTTAGGAAAAAAATCAGATAAATCTCTTACCCTGAAAACTTTCTAGAGGAATGGAAGAGATAAAGTACACGTTGAATTATATGGAATGGTTGAAAGATAATATTTTTTTCATAAAACAGGTATGGATAAATGGCTCTGAGACTTCAGAAAAGTGAATTGTTACTTAAAGTTGGGATATGTTGAAAGGCTCCTTGGAATAATCGGCATCTAGGCTGAGTGGACTCAAATTGTACCACTTTATTTTGACAAACAATTCAAAGTGTTAATTTCTACATCATTTGCTCATCCAAGATTAGCTTTAGACTTGACAATTATTTAGTGATTATGTTTATTTTTTTATTTTTTGCATATATCAGGCTTCTTCTTATGTCCTAAATTAAGATTCCAATGCTATTGTCCTTATTAATCTGTACATATGTTTAAAATAATATAAAAAGTAGTAAAGTTTTGGGGGAAAGTACTGAGGTACATGTGTCTGTATAGTATCGTTAGCATTTAGTTGATAAAACAAAAGATTTCAATATATTAGCATCCCAGTATATTTTGAACTAAAAGATATTAATGATAAAGAAAAAGTGACATCATTAACTAAATAATATTATTAAAATTAAAACTGGTTCATTTTATATGAACTGAATAAGAAAGATCATTCATGGTGTATCCCTAAGATTTTTTATGGATAAATCTTTTCTCCAAGGGAGATAGTGCAATATAAATTATTATTTAATAACTGGGATTTTCCTGGGTACAATAGTGCTGGACTAAAAAGGCACACAGAAGAAGACACATTAACAAATTCATGATTTCTATCTCTCCCCTTTTTTTTTATAGAGCAATTTTGCACAACACCTCAGGTCTGACAACAAGCACAGCTAGGTGAATCTCCTGGATGGCCCCCCCATATTTACTCCCACTTTACCTTCTGAGCAAGGTAAGTGTAGATACCTTTGTTTATCTTTTCTCAGTTTGTCCCTCATGTTTTCATAGGCCTAATTTCATATTTTGTTTTTTCCAGCATTATCCTGGCCAATGTGTTCATTCAATTATTATGTATAATGATACATCTAAATGGTGAATATTTATTTATGCCAGCTCATGCTAGCTAATCTATTTATCTTACAGCATACTCATATATTTTTTCAGAACTTTGTCACTTTTCTACTTAGTTGGAAAGACTTATGAACAAAATCTGAAGACCGATTTTTATGGAACGGAGGCTTTTCATACTACCCATCTCCCTGGCTGTGTATTTTCAAATTTTATGCCTCATCTGCTAAAATCTGTCTCAGCACAAACCCAGACTGTGCAGCTGTGTAAATCATGTGTGTCTGTGACCAGGTGTGCCAAGGATGACTGTGGAGATACCACTGTTAAGTAAGCCTCCCGCTAAAAGAAGAGACACAGGTAACATTGACTTTCAGTTGTTGACATGCTGGCTGGCTTGGGAGCCAGGTAGTTGAAGATTGTTCCAGAATGTTTTCATTTAAAGCATGATGGCTGACAGTGTGTTGTAAGCTTTAGGAACAGCAGGAGCACCTTCCCTATGCTAATAAATACTAGGAAGCATTGTCCTTTGCCGACTTCAGGAATCCTTAACATGTAGGCAGTCTACTCCGCTAAGATTTTTCTGTTTTTCTTCGGCTAATGCAGAAAAAAAATTTAATCCAAGTCATAGTTTTTGTCTAACAAACATCGATTACTCCACATAATAGGGATATATATTTATTGTGTGTTTGCTTATTTATTTGCTTATTTATTTAATGTAGAGCTCCCCAGAGGCCATCAGTCATTATGAAGTTGTTGGTTTTTGTTTTTTGTTTTTAATTTAATTTTATGACATGACTTGAGAAATGGCTACCTTGGTTATGCTTGTGATGGCTACACTGAAATGAAGTGACACTGCCTTACTGCCTTGAGTTGAGAGGCAATCACTGCCTTTTATTGTAAAAGAGTCATTTATGTTAGTGTCCTCTCTCAATTAAGATCTAATATGAAAAGTAGTGTTAAGGGAATATTTTAAATCATTGTCATAGATCAGTACATATCATTCCATCAGTTTGATGTTTAGACACATATTACATATTTGCCTTTCAAAAGAGTTGAGAAGTAATAATGTCTTTTGTTTTCTGGGTGTTTCTAGCCTATGATAATAGCACCCTACCTCATATGTCTTTTGCAATGTTGTGTACTCTGAAGTCCTCAGAAGTTAAAGAGAAATAATGCTTTTCATAAGCAGCTAATCCTTATTCAAAGGTAACAAACTGACATCAGCAAATGGTAAAGTGTTCAGCCAGTTGAATAGGGGAAGAAATTAAAAATATTTTGTATTGGCAATACAAGCTAAGAAATAAATTAGAAAATTTAAAGTTATGATTGCTTGGATTCTGATCTTACTCAGAAAATCACTGAATTGTTGTGTGACTTTTAGCAACTTCTAAGCAGGAATAATACCTCCCACTTCCACTCCATATCAGAGACCAGCTATTCTGTGCATTAACGTGATAATTTCTACCAACACATTTGGTGTATGTAAAATGGGCAAGATAGTGCTATTGTTTGTCATGAAATTGTGATTTTTTTTTAAGTTTAAATGTATTCAATTTCTTTTAAATCTGTCCTTTCTCATCTTTCTTAAGTTAGTTGCTTGTTGTCTCCTTAACTCCATGGTAGCCTACATTCTTCTGCCCGTCAACTGTATTTCTGCTTGTCTACCCAACATCTCTTGTTGAAATAGTCCTCACACTGTAGACATCAAAGTGTTGCATCTGGAGGCTTCGAAAAGTCTTTGCCCGCAGTTCTAATATAATGAAGAGTATTTGGAATTTCAATCATGCCCAACAACATACTGTATAGAAACTTACAATTAAATTTGTATTAATAGAAGCCATTGGTAATTTTTAAAGGTATAATCTCTCTTAAATTTTATTTTGAGAAGCAATTCTAGTGTAATAGCTAAGGCCTGTACTTTCTCCTTCATATTTATCAACTTACATCTTATTTGTCTCTTGATACTCTTTTTATTATTATTATTATTTTTTAGATTTTATTTATTTATTTGACAGAGAGAGAGAGAGGGGGATCACAAGTAGGCAAACAGGCAGACAGGCAGGCAGGCAGAGGGAGAGGGAGAAGCAGACTCCCTGCTGAGCATGGAGCCTGATGTGGGGGCTCGATCCCAGGATGCTGGGATCATGACCTGAGCTGAAGGCAGTCGCTTAACCAACTGAGCCACCCTGGCGCCCCATGTCTCTTGATACTCTTCGCCATAATTCATGTTGACAGGAAATTTTCCTATTTTAATGTTTGCTCTTATTGTTTATATGTATGCCTAAAACTGGACTTTATGCACCACTTTCAGAGCTATAACTAGGATTTTGTACATTGTAATTAGTATAGACATGTTAAACAATTTATTGTTTTCTATATCCATGTATTTGTCTGCTTGTTTTGAGAGTTGGGTCGGGGAGATCACAATTCATCATGTATGCTCTTTCAGTGAACAACTAAAAGGTGTTCTTTTAAAAATATTTATTAGGGTGGGTGCCTGGGTGGCTCAGTTGGTTAAGCAACTGCCTTCGGCTTAGGTCATGATCCTGGAGTCCCTGGATCGAGTCCCATATCAGGCTCCCTGCTTGGCAGGGAGTCTGCTTCTCCCTCTGACCCTCCCCCCTCTCATGTGCTCTCTCTCATTCTCTCTCTCTCAAATAAATAAATAAAATCTTTAAAAAAATTTATTAGGGTGCCTGGGTCTGTTAAGCATCAGACTCTTAATTTCATTCAGCTCAGGTCATGATCTAAGGGTTGTGAGATCAAGCCCTACCTCGGGCTCCACTTTGGCTGTGCAGTGTACTTAAGATTCTCTCCCTCTCCCTCTGCCCCTCCCTCTCCACCTGCATGCTTGCTGTCTCTCTTTCTCTAAAAGAAATAAATAAAATAAAATATTTATTAAGTGCCTTTTGTGTATCTTCTACATTTGAGAAAATTTTATAATATACAAATTAATATTTATACTTTATATAAGGATATATATTATAGTAATCAGATGTCTTAACTGTGGTCCTTCTATTCAAAAATAAGGAGATTGCTTATCAGACAGAATATTAAGAAATTTTGTGGGTAACGTGGGTTCCTCTTTAAGCCTATCTCAAAAAGAAATTGTTCACAGTTTTTATAAGCCGAATTTCTCCCATCTTCTAATTCAGTCTCCTTCCACCATAACACTATAACCACTCATTTGTAAGAGATGTAATTATTGTGGAGGTGCTGATGGTGTTACTTTGGGTAGGAGTGGGTGGTAGAATTAATAGGAAGTACTTAAACTCAACATTTACTCTTTCTAGTGAGAGGTTCTTATGTATTTTATTAATTAAAATAGCTGACAAGCATATGGCTTGCTAAACTACATGATACACCAAAAATCTTATCTTGATTTTTTATATAAACATTAAGGGTGATATAATTGCATCATCTTTTTATCATCATTTGTATTCACATGAGCTCTGACTTTAAAGCTTATGTGTTTGCTTAATATATGTTTAATTAGACAAGAATGAAAGAAGCAAAGAATTGAATCATTCAAAGTTATCCAATGGTTAAGGACCTATTCTGAGACAGGAAAAAAGCAGCCTATTTGAGTTTTCTGCCTAAACTTATGTATACTAATGTTAACATGGACATAGAATATAATAAATAGCATGCTTCCTTATGATAATAAAGATAACAATGATTTCTTAGCACTTAGTAGTACTAATATTTGGAAGATACCTTAGAGTTCATCTATTAGAACTTACAGCCACTGAAAACTGTCTCTTTCCAATATCTCTGGTAGCTTTTTCTTGGCCACTTCCATAAATAGGAAACTCACTACTAGGGTAATTTTGGTCTGTCTTATACATTTTCTATTTTGTATTAGACCCAAAAGGTAGTGAACAGTGATTTTGCAATGATAACACTTTTTCCCCCCAGTTCTCCGTTTTATAAGTAATTATGGCATAGATCTATAAACTAAGTACCAAGGTAATCTCCTACTGTGTTCTCTATTTTGAAGTTGTCTGTTTTTCATATTTGTTTTGCTCTTTTCACTGTAAAGTTCACCTGGAGAAGATGCAGGCAACTTTATCCTTTCTTTGTTCTTATACCAAAAAAAAAAAAGCTAAGATAGGCCCTTTTATTGTCCTAACTTTTCAAATACTTGTCGACTTATTTGTTAACGTAAAAAGTCATTCCAACTTCTGATTTTTTGCCTTGGATGACATGATTTGACTTCAGAAGTTTTAGATTCTCCTTCAGGTGAGCCTGTATACATACCAGTTTTATAAAGTTACTGTTATTTCTCTTTGCTGTGACATACGCTTTTATTTGTCAACTTGCCCCTGATTTCTGTAGTAAATTTCAATCTAAAATGGGCTAGTTTACAGTCTGGCAGGAGTGGTTACAGCCATTTAAAATATTGTGCATAGACTTTAGGCATACATCTGAACTGCCAAAGCAGAAGTTACATGAGAAGAGAGCAAAATTATGAAACCCCATTCCCTGGCACTATTCTAGATATAGCCAGTCATTATGCTGTCTTTGACCTACCAATGACAAATTTTTGGGCTTCATGGGCCGCCACACCTAACCCTCTTTAGTTTTCTCTTCCTGCACAGGTACAGGGATCACAATAGGTACCAAATGGTTGAGCCTCAGCCCCATTCTTTCCTTGTGATGGGTGGCAGGGTTTGCTTGTTTCTGTTCTTTATCAGCAAGTGACTTCAAGTTAGCTATTATTCCCCAATTTTATTTGTTAAAATATCCATAGTTGGGCAGCAGCCTGCACCTCTTCAATGTTCATTTTAAGCCTGTAAAAATTTCCCAACCATGTCTGCTATGAAGACTCAAGAAAGCCCCACAAAAGCCCAAGATGTATGTCAAAACTACAGCTTTCTCTTTTTTCTCCTCAGACTATTCTTTCCAGCCTTTTGTGCATAATTCTTCTATCATACTAGTATCTCTTCATTCTCTGTAATAAACCAGTGAATAGAACATTACCCCTTAAACCTGTTCATCTCCCATAACAGAAGTACCAGCTTGTATTAATAGCGCACATCATTGGTACCTACCTTAGGCAGGAAGGACCGATGTAGTAAATATCTTCCACGTCAATGGAATAATAATCTCCCTGGTCCCTACAGGTAGCATCAAAACTGCAGTCCTTTGTGGCTTTTCCTGGAGTTCCCAGGGAACATTTTTCCCTAAATCTTGTCATAGCCTTTTATTTATTCGCTTCAACTATTTGCCGGGGGCTCTTTGGCATGCTGTTTTTACTCTGCCCTGGCCATTTCTTTCCCCTTCCTATTAACTCTGTTAACTTCATGTGTCTTAGAGGTTTGTAGCCATTTGCTTAGCTAGACATTATTAGTCAGGGTTCTTTAATACAGACAGAACACAAAAAGAATACA